GTACTATATATATATACTAGTAAGTATTTATAATAAATAGTTACTAGGTAGTTAATAAAGAGCTAAAGAATTATTCTACTTTTATTTTAAACTATATATATTAGCTTTTATATTAATAAATTAAAAAAATAAATTAGTTAGATTTTAATTTATTATAATCCTTAGTAATTAGTTAGTAAGGAGTTACTAATTAGTATATTAATTAGGCTAATATTTCTTCTCTATTATTTATCTTTTAGGCTAATCTCCTCTAGAAAGTTAAAGTTAAATAATTATAAGGTAATTAGCTATAGGCCTTAATTAAGGGAGAAAATAAAGGTAATTATATTATTAGAATTTAACTTAGCCTTTTAACTAGGTGTTCTAGCTAGGCTGTTCTTATATCTATATAATACCTAAGGTATTACTAAAGGCTTAGTAACTAATTACCTAAATCTTATCTCTAGTATTCTACTTGTTAACCTAGGGGACTAAAATCTTTATATTTTATAACTATAAAGAGGTCTTTTTTTATAAAGTCTATCTCTTATAGCTATAAAAAGACCTTATATAAAGCTTACTTCTTATAGCTATATAGGTTAATTAGTTAATAGTAAAATAAAATAGTAAAACAGCTAAATTAGTGTTATTATAGCCTATACTTTAGTAAAAACCTTCCTATTAGATTACTAAGTATAATAAACCCCTATTATTAGATTACTAACTATAATATAAACTGCTAACTATATCTTTTTTTCTTTTATTATTAAATATATACTTTCTTTTTATATATATTACTATTATAGCTTTTACCTTAGAAAGATATTATTATATATCTTAGCTACTAATATATACTATATTAGGTAAATATAAGCCTTAAAACTATAATAAACCTTACTTTGCTATTTTATTAAACTTAACCCTTTATGTCTAGTAGGCCTACTTTGTTTTATATGGCTATTAAAATAAACTTTCCTCTAGTTTTTTATTAACGTAAAGATAGTCTTGTATTCTAGAAGTTAGTTATAGATAATTAATCTCTAGTTTAGTCTATATTTGTCTACCCTCTCACGTGTAAGGGACTCTTATAGATAGGAGAGAGTCTATAGAACAAAAACATACAAAATTAATTAATCCCTAGGATATTATTATAACCTGTATCTGTACGTAACGTATATTCTACTATAGTCAAAAGATATAAGTATAAGTAACACAGATTACCTTGTTCCGTAGGTCATCATGGCGCCACCTCTCGCAGCGCCATATTCAGAGAGACAAACTTTTCACAAAGCTTCTCGACCAAGTAGTCCAGATGGCCCGACTCGCAAAGCATAAGATTGGCGGTGATGCCGATGCGGAAATGACGGCCGTCGGGATCGGGGATGGCGACATATTCCACGTCATGGATCGAAGGGTCGGGCTGCAGGATCTCGTCCAGGAGATCGTCGCACACAGTCGACTTGCGCCGGCGCACCTCGGGGAAGAGGGTCTGAATGGTGATGGAGCGGTCTCCGATCCTGCTTTCGGGCTGTGTGTCTTGATTCATGTAGGCGATACCGATGCCGAACCTATCGGCGTCGGGCGACCAGTCAACGCCGGCGTTCTCCTTAATATCGTCAAAGCTCATGGCCTCGTACGAGATGCCCTCAAGATACTGGTCCTGCACCTGATGGGCCAGCTGCCTCGGGTCAGCGTCATTGTCGACGCCAACGACGCGCACAGGCATCATGTTGCCGCAGTGGCCGACGAGGTCATGGAGGCTGGGTGGGAGGAACTGCCGCCCAGAGACGACGTTGCCAAAGAGTATGTCGCTCGAGCCCGTTTCTTCAGCAGCAACCAGCGCACAGGCCGTTGAAAAGATGGACGCCTGCGTGATCCTGCCCGTCAGCGCTTGCGCCTCAGGCGGGACATCAATGACGCGGCACAGCAGCGCGGCGCGATCGACCGGCGCTGCCTGGCGTTTCCGCCTCAGACTGTCCACGACCGTGATGGAAGAGCCTCGGAGGAGCCGTCTCCAGTGGGCTAAGCCCTCCTCGCGGATGTTAGCGAGGGCATTCATATAGACGGCGAACGGCGGCGGCGGCGGGAGTCTGATGCCCTCATATAAGGAATGGAGGGTATGAAGGAAGTTTGGCAGGCTCAGACCGTCCCAGATGGCGTGGGACAAGCGGAACACCAACTGCAGCAACCCGGCCTCGTTTTGGATGAGGCCGATGCGTATAAACGGCTGGCCCAGCTTTAGGGGCGTCTGGCGGTCTGCTGCGACTATGAGACGCGCCGCAGCATCAAAGTCATCATCGCCCTCTGTTAGATGAATCACCTCGACCGGCACGTCCGGCTTGTCAATGACGACCTGCCAGAAGCGGCCGTTGGCTCGCACAAAGATGGTTCTCAATATGTCAAAGCTTTGCACCAGGACCTCGCAAGCTTCGGTAAGCCGACTAGGACTAGAACCGGCCGGGAACTTGACCGAAAAGACATTGCAGCTGCGTGGGAGACCTGTCGAGACCTCGTTGGCGTACCAGGACTGCGTAGATCGGGCGGGGTACATATCCACGACCCGGCTTCGGTAGCTCTCCTCCAGCTGCGGGTATACCTCTTTCTGAAGGAACCCCTGCACGTCGTCTTTGAAGGGGCAGAGCTGGAAAGGAGAATACTGAGCCGCGGCATCCGGGGCATCCTTGCTGCCGCTGCCGCCTTGATGTACGGCCTTCAGTGCCGAGAGGTCGATCTGCGGTAGGCTGCTGGCCAGGTCGCGAGGTGTCGGGTGATCAAAGATGGATTTTACCGGCACGTTTGTGTTGAAACGCCGGCGAATACGGGCAGCCAGCCTCATGGCGACCAGCGAGTTGCCGCCGAGGTTGAAGAAGTTGTGGGTGATGCCGACCTGGGGCACTCCGGCGGCCTCGGCGAACTCTTGACACAGCGCAGCCTCGACGTCGGTGCGAGGCGCTACGTATTCCGTCGTCGTCGTCACGGCCTGGCGAGCAACTGAAACTTCGCGGGCCGCGACGACGGCCAGCTCCTTGCGGTCCACCTTGCCGCTGGCGTTGAGAGGCCACCGATCCATGACGATGATTCTCGCCGGCATCATGTATGTCGGCAGCACCCCCTGGAGCCTCTCAAGAATCTGCGCCTCCACATCGGATGCCGTACAGCCGGCGACGGCTTCGCCATCCCCGTCACTCGGACGCAGGGTTACGAAGCCCACCACGTCAGCGTCCCGACCTGCCTTCTGCAGGATGACGACGGCGGCGCTGCCGACGGCCTCGTGCGCCGCGACTATGTTTGCTTCAACCTCGCCCGGCTGGACCAAGTGACCGCGAACCTTGGATTGGAAGTCCATGCGGCCCAAGAACTCGATCTCGAGGTCCGCCGCCCGCTGGCGGACCCGGTCGCCCGTCCGGTAAGCCCGCACGCGCCGGCCGTCAATTGTAACCTCAATAAAGCGATCGATGTTAAGCGCCGGGTCGAGATAGCCGCGCGCGAGCCCGTCTCCTGTGACGACGAGCTCTCCAATAACGCCCGGAGACACGAGCCGCTGGCGCAAGTCCATCACGTAGCTACCGCCGTTGCTCACGCTGTGGCCTATAGGGACCCCATTATGGAACAAGTCCGAGCTGGCGACCTTGTATAAGGTGCTCTGCATGCCGTTCTCCGTCGGCCCGTACGCGTTTAGGACCGCGCCGCCTATTCGACTCTTGGCCTTGAGGGCATCACCGGCGTCCATCTTATCACCCACATTGAGCAAGGCTTGCAGGGGACCCAGGATGGCCGGGGCGTTCTCAAGGCACTGCTTGAAAAACGCCGGCGTCATCATAGCAACGTTGACGCCGTTTTGCAAAAACGTCGCCTCGAGCTGTTTGCTGTCTAGCGACGTCAAGTAGTCGACGCAAACCAATGTTCCCCCGTTCAGCAAAGCCGTCCAGATTTCTTGGACGGAGATGTCGAAGCCAAGGTTGCAGAGGTGTGCCACTCGCGGCGCCTCAGGGATGTAGGCAGCGACGTTGCTCCCCAACACGAGCCGCAGGATGGCTCGGTGCTCTAGCATGACCCCCTTTGGCTTTCCCGTGGACCCGGAAGTGAAAATGCAGTAGGCGAGGCTCGTGGCCGAGGGACCTCTGACCGCGACAAGATCGCCGTTGTTTCCCTCGTCGTTGGACCCGAGAACGCCGCTTATCCGGACGGTCTCTGTATTCGGTATGAGGTCTAGCTTATCCGAGTCCACGTTGGGTCCGAGCAGGACTAGTGTGTTACCCGGGACGCATTCCAAGATGGTCTGAATGCGGCCGGGGGGGGAACCGACGTCGAGCGGTATATACGCCAGGTTGGACTTGAGCACACCCAGGAAGGCGACGATTGTTTGGCACGACCGCGGCGACAGGACGCCTACGAGCGATTCGGGCGCCAAATTCCGCCGACGTAACCACGAAGCCAGTTTGTCCGATTGCCGATCCAGTTCTCGATAGGTGAGCGAGGATGCCGAGTCTGTGACGGCCGTGGCATCGGGACAGGCGGCCACCCGGGCGCGGAAGACGTCGACAACGCTGGAATCACGCGGGTATACGGCCATCTCCGGCCCCAATGAGCCCTTCTCATCCCGCAGACGGTCCAGACCGTCGGTCAAAGCAATGTCACCGATGGGGAGCTGGCTGTCGTCGAGACAGCGCCGAAGGACCTCGAGGAAAACGGAAACCATGCCCCGGATGGTCTCGGGCTTGAAGAGGTCCTCGGAAAAGAAGACCTGGGCGTTGAGCCTGCCGACTTCCTGGAACACGTGGAACTCGACGTCCATCTGCGTCGAGGCCATCATCGGCAGGGAGTCGCTCGCGAGGCCCTCGAGCTTGATCTTGCCGAGGTCCTGCTGCGAGTACACGGTGAACATGATCTGGACCAGCGGATTTCGAGACATGTCCTTGGATCCCGGCAGCAGGCTCGACACGACGCGCTCAAAAGGCACATCCTGGTGGGAAAAGCTGGCGGCCGTCGTGGCCCGAACCTGCTGGGCCAGCTCGGCAAACGTTTGGTCGGCGCTGACCGGGATTCGCAAGCACAGCGTGTTGACGAAGAATCCGATGAGGTTTTCCGTCTCGAGTCTCGTGCGGTTCGACATGGGCATGCCCACGGTGGCATCCTCAACCCCCGTGAGGCGATAGTGGGCGGCACGGAACACGGCGAGGAGAGCGGCAAAGGCGGTAATCTGGTGGGTGCGACTGAAGGCGCGGAGGCGGTCGTACAGGGGGCCGTCGATCACAAAAGGCACAGCGCCAGCCTTGCCCGACAGCATGGCCGGCCGGGGGAAGTCGGTCGGGAACTCGGCCGCCCTGCTGTCCTGCAGATTCTGGCTCCAGTACTGGAGCTGGCGCTGATGCTCGGCCAGCTGCTCGTCCTGCTTCTGCCACCGGGCGTAATCGCGATACTGGATGGGCAGCGGTTCAACCGACGACAGAGGATCGTGGTCGCCCCGGAGTGCGGCGGCGTAGAAAACACCCAGCTCTCGTGCCAGGACGTCGATGGACCAGGCATCGTAGATGATGTGGTGCAGGACGACAATCAGGACATGGTCCCTGGGGCCGGAGCGCAGCAGAGAGGACCGCCAGCCGGACTCGGATGACAGGTCGAAACGCTTCGCTTGCTCCTCTTTGATGGTGCGCGTCAACAGTGACGAGCCGGTGGTGGTATCGTTGCCATCGACGGCAGGCAGATCAACCACCCTCAGCTCGGGCTTGCGGAATTCCGACGCCGCGTGCACGACTTGCATGACTTGGCCATCGTCGTCTTGTAGGAAGGTGGTCCGCAGCGCCTCGTGCCGCTCTTGAAGGGCCGCCAGCGCGCGCTCGAGAGCGTCCGTATCGAGCGGCCCGCGCAGGCGGACCCCGATGGGCATGGTCCAGCTTGCGTCGCTGTTGACCTGCTCGATGAACCACAAACGGTTCTGCCCGAAAGATAGCTCGGCCGGTCCGTCGTGGTCCAGCGCCGGGATCGGTTTGTGAGGGGCCGAGCCTCGGCGGATGACGGAAGCCAGATTGCCGACAACAGGGTTTTCGAAAACGTCCCTGACTGTTACGCGGCTGTCGAGGCGGCTACTGAGGCGCGCCGCGAGCCTTGTGGCCATGAACGAGTGGCCTCCGGCGCTGAAGAAGTTGTCGGTGATGCCGACCTGTACACCGAGGATGTCGCTGAACTCTTCGCAGAGGACTACCTCGACTTCGTTGCGCGGCGGGACCAGTTTGCGTGCGGCCTCGGTCTTGGGCGCGACGCGTGCCATGCTTCTTAGTGCCTTTCGGTCCACGCTGCCGCTGGAGTTCAATGGCATCTGTTCCATGACGATGATCTGGGACGGCACCATGGATGACGGCAGGGCATCCCGGAGGCTTTCGTTGATGCTGCTGACGATTTGCTCTGCCTGATCTTGTTGCTGCTGGCCGGGCTTGTCCTCTTCCGCCTCGACGAAAGCAACCAGCTCGTTCTCTCCCAAGGCTTCCCCGGACCGGACGACGACGGCTGCATTACGCACGAGGGGATGCCCTAGCATGGCGTGCTCCACCTCGGCGAGCTCCACGCCATGGCCACGAATCTTGACCTGCTTATCCAGGCGTCCAAAGAATTCCATCTGGCGGGTCTTGGGGTTGACTCTGACCTGGTCGCCCGTACGGTACGCCCGCACGACTCTGCCGCCGCCGGTCTCGTCGTCGTCGCCGCCGCGCTTCCCGCCCATGGTGATGTGGATGAAGCGGTTCTTGTCGAGAGTCGGATCGGTGTATCCTCGCGCAAGCCCATCTCCAACGACTACGAGTTCGCCCATGACGCCCGCAGGTACGGCAATCTGGCGGGGATCCATGACCAACAACGCGTCGTTGCTAACGGGACGGCCGATAGGCACAAGCCCGTTGGCGAGCTCGTCGTTCTTACCGACGCGGTAGATGGCGCTTAGAACCGTGTTCTCCAACGGCCCGAGGGCGTTGTACAGGTTAGCCACCAGCGTCCGCGCCTGGATCGCATCACGCACATCGAGCCGGTCACCAGTGGATATGAGCACGTCGAGTCGGGCCAGCGACGACGGCTCTTTGGCCAAGCATTGCTTGATGAGTGCCGGCGAGAGCATGGCTGCCCGCACCTGCTCGCGGTCAAAGACGTGAGCAAGAGCCATCGGGTCCAGCGAGGTCAGATGGTCGATACAGACGACGGTGCCTCCGTTCAAGAGGGCCGAATATATCTCAAAGAGAGACGCGTCAAACGAGATGTCGGCGACATGCGCCACGGCGGCTGCTGCCGGAATCTCGGCTACCACGTTGCTCTCTTTTACGAGCCGCAAGATACTCCTATGCTCAATCATGGCACCCTCGGGCTTTTCGGCCGACCCAGAATTAAAGAGTATGACAGCCAGGCTTGTGGCCGAGGGCTCACCAGACCCTCCTGTTTGCTTGTTGTTGTCGTCGTCGTCGTCGTGATTGAGAGCGTCGTCCACCATCACTAGGTCCGTATCCGGCAGCTCGAGAATCCCCTTTGGCGGACGCACGTCGGAGCCCAGGATGATCAGGCACCTTTCATTTGCCGCTGCCGTCTTTCTAATCTTCGCCGAAGATAAAATGCGTTTGATGCGGGTGGCACCGTCGTCGACGTTCAGCGGCAAGCAAGCGAGATTGGCCTTGAGCACGCCAATCATGGCCACAACGGTATCGCACGACCTTGGCGCCAATATACCGACCGGCGTCTCGGCAGGCATGCCTCGTCGGCGCAGCCAGGCGGCCATCTTGTCGGATTCCTGATCCAGGCGAGAATACGTCATGCGGGCTGCCGGGTCGGAAACAGCAATGGCGTCGGGGGAGGCCACGACTTGTTGTCGAAAGACGTCTACAATGCTAGAGTCCCGCGGATACCCTGTCGGCTCGGCATCAAATACGGCCAGCCCTGGCATTCCTACGAGCAGCGGCAGCACCGAGATGGGCGTCCGGGGTTGCGCGAGGCCCTGAAGGAGCACCTCTTGGAAGACGTCAACCAAGGCATGTATCGTCTCGGGCTCGAACAGGTCCTTGGCGTAGAGGGCATGGCCGACAAACCTCTGCTCGGCATCTCGGCGGAAGATATGGACCTCGACATCGAACCTGGTCGACAGTCCCAAGCCTGCCACGCCGCCTGTCGTAGTCTCGGCCTTCAGGCCCTCTAGCTGGACGGTGCCGATGTCCTGATCGGAGTGTTGGACGAACAGGACCTGCGCCAGGGGGTTGCGCGATGTGTCCCTTTGTGCGGCGGGCAGCACCGCCGATACGACCTGCTCAAAAGGTACTTCCTGGTTCTCGAAAGCGGCCATGACGGCTGGTCGGACTTGCTTCTGGACTAGAGTCTCCAGGGTATCTTGCCCGCCGTCGATCAATGTGCGGATACACAGGGTATTGACGAAAAAGCCGATCAGCGGCTCCAGCTCCGGCCGGTTCCTAGCGGCGGTGGGAACCGCAATGGTCGCATCCTCGGCGGCCGTGAGACGGTAATGTGCGGCGCGGAAGGCGGCGAGCAACACGACAAAGGGGGTTGTCTCGTGGGCTTGTGCAAAGGCTTTCACCGCCTCGTACGTGGCACCTTGGATGACCAAGTCGACATTACCAGCGCGGCCAGAGGGCAATGCCGGCCGCGGGTGATCGACCAAGAGCTCGGCAGGGGAGCTGTCTGCAAGATGGCCTGCCCAGTACTCGAGCTGCTTTTGATACTTCATAGTCTGCTCGGTCTGTCTCTGCCAGACGGCGAAGTCCCGGTACTGGATAGGAAGCGGCGGCAACGGCGACGACGTGGTTGACGAAGATGACGGAGGCGCCGACGCCAGCTCAAGGCGGCGTCCACGCAACGCGTCCGAGTACAGCAGGGCCAGCTCCCGGCGTAGGACGTCCATGGACCAGCCGTCGGTGATGATGTGATGCATGACGATGGAGACGACGTGGTCCTCGTCGGCCAGCTTCAGCAAGCATACTCTCCATCCAGGCTGGGAAACCAGGTCAAACGGGGTCGTCTGTTCGATTTGTAGGGTGCCCTCTAGTGTGGCCTCGTCAACGTCGACGACGCGGAGGCTTATGCTGCTGCGCGGCGGATGGACGACCTGCACGGCGATACCGTCCCTTTCTTCAAACGTCGTGCGCAGCGTATCGTGACGCCGTTCCAGGGCCGCGAGTGCAGCTTCAAGAGCGTCGGCCCGGAGCGGGCCACGCAAGCGCATCGCAACCGGCGTCAAGTACCACGACGAGTCGGGGTTGAGCTGATGCAGGAACCACATGCGGCTCTGGGCGAACGACTGCTCGACAGGCTCGTTCTTCTGCGTGGACGAGAGGATCGGTATCCGCTTGAGCCCAACATCGGCGTCGTCTTGTTGTAGCGTATCAGCGAGACCGGCGAGCGTGGCACCACGCATCAGATCCGTCACCCTGAGCGTGATGCCACGTTCCCTTGCCAGGTTGACCATCTTTATGGCGGTGATGGAGTCGCCGCCTAGGTCGAAGAAGCCGGCCGAGTCGGATTGGCCAGCCGCAGGGTCCATGTCGAATATTTGCCACCAGACCCGTCGCAGCGCGTCCGCCATGCCATTGTCGTTGGTGGTGGCCGGGTTATAATTGCGCAACTCGGCACTGGCCTTAGGGGGCGAGGATGCCGACGTCTTCTCACGAGCTTCGCTCAACATCCTAGCGCCAATGGACCGTAGTTCTCTTCGGCTGATCTTCCCCGAGCCGGTCTTGGGTAGCTGAGGCAGCTGGATGTAGTGAGTCGGGACAGCGTGGTGAGGGAGAACCTGGAGTAAGTCTGAACGTATAGCATGCGTTACTGCCGCGTCGTCTAGAACTGAGGCCTCTTGCACCATTGTAGGATGCTTGTCGTCTTGCCTCCATGGGCCGGTCGAGAAGGCCACCAGAGTCGCACTCTCGGCTGTCATGCCGCCTCTCACGACGGCCTCGACAACTGGCATCGGTGAACCAGCTGGGAGCTGTCGTCGCAGATGAGTTTCCACGTCGCCCAATTCCACGCGGTGCCCTCGGATCTTGACTTGCAAGTCTTTGCGTCCGAGGTATACAATAGACCCGTCGGATTTGTATCGGCCGAGATCTCCTGTCTTGAGCATCCGGAAGAATTCAGCATCGTCACATAACACTTCTCCTCGTCGACGGCGCCAGGAGGGCGGCACTTCAATGAAAGGCGAGTTGGCGCCCAACGAGGGCGCAACATATCGACGCGCGATACTTGGACTCTCCACGGTGATCTCGCCGATGCCGCCGACCGGCGCAAGCCTGTCGCTGTCGTCCGGGTCGGTAAGCCAGAAGCGAGCGCACAAGCCGTGACTGAGGCAGTGCGGCTCTGTTGTAGACGGGTCGACTCTGTAAACAGACGCCATCACGCCGCTCTCACTCAGTCCATAGCCGTTGAACAGCTTCACTTTATGGGCCCAGACGTCCCTCGTCGCCGCCGACCATGGCTCCCCGGCGATGATCAACGTTTCCAGGCTTGGGACAGCTTCCGGGCGGATGGTGCTGATGAATGAGGGAGTGAGGATGGCCCAGTTGACCATATTCCGGTTGATGAAGGCCGTGGCATCGTTGAGACGCTCTTCCTCCGAAGGAACACAGAGACAACCTCCGTGCGTAAGGGTAACAAAGATCTCAGCGATGGAGACGGCGTATGCGTAAGATGCGAAGTGCAAAGTCCGCGTGTGATGGCCGAGCCCCACGGCCCGGGCCAGCTCAACGGCGGAGCAAGTGAGACTACCGTGTTCAATCATGCTGCCTTTGGGCTCGCCCGTACTCCCGGACGAGAAGATAACGTAGGCCAAGTCGGATGGCTTGGTAGTGGGGGGTCTCCGGCAGGCCCGGTCACTAGCAGTACCAGTAGTCGTCGGCGGCAGCCGTGAAACAAAGGATTGGTCGAGGACGACACAGCGGGGGACGACGGTGGACATGGTGTTCAAGTTGCCGGCGGAGGTCAGGGCAAGCCTGACCGAGCTTTGCTCGCACATGTTGGCGATCCTCGCCGACGGGAGGGACGGCTCGATGAGCGTGAAGGCCAGGCCAGACTTGAGCACGGCAAGCATGGCGGCGATTGCCCACTTGGACTTTTCGAAGCAGATGGCCACTACATTGCCCATGTCCTGCCCGTCGAGGCTCAAAACGTGGTCCGCGACGGCCGACGATAAGCTATCCAGCTCGGCGTACGTCCACTCGCCATCCCACGCACTTACGGCAACGGCGTCCGGCGCCTGCTGGGCTCTTGCGGCCACGGCGTCGTGAATGCAGACTCGATGCGGCTTGAGCGGCTTAGAGTTCCAGCTCTCAATCTCCTCCCAGTCCGGCTGCGTCGTTGTACTGAGCTCCGCGAGTGATTGGTGAATCGAGGGACCTTGGAGCTGCTGGATCAAGAGGCCCATTTGGCGCAGTAGCCGAGCGACCTGAAGGCCGCCGTCGAGGACGCGGGCGTCGTACCGCGCCCGAAGAAGTGCTGACCCTTCAGCCATGTAGCAGCAGATCAGCAGGGCCCGATCGCTGCACGGCTGCTCCGCCGGGTCGATGGCGGCGGCAGATGCCGCCACAGTCTGCGCGTCTTTCTGGCTGGTAGTGACGACTGTGAGCACCGTCTGGAATCCACAAGCCACCGACGCAGAATCGCTGCTCCGGGCGATGGCGTCGAGACTAATGGGCTCAAGCTCCCGTATGGCTGCGTCGTCGGCGGCTACAGCCCGGATGAGGTCGGACGGGGTCAGATGACGGCCACAGTTGACACGAGCTGGCACGAGAGTCCGCCTTGGACCGACTTCTGTCTGTCTTGGGTCCTCGGGCGACTTTGGTCGTTCGATCACAACGCCAAAGAGGGCTTCGGGGGAGTGTGTGTATTGGGAAAGGAGAATTGCCAGAGCTGCGCGAGGAACGAGGGCCTTCTCCGGTAGACGCAGGCTGGGTGCTGCTTCTTCGAATGGTACGAAATGCTCCGACTGCACCTCAGGCCGTGGCACGGTGAAGCCAGAAGATGGTAGCGGCGGGAAGAGGGACGTGTCAAGCCCGTCCATCTTTTGCCGCCAGAACCTCGTGGCTTGATCACAATACATGTCGGCGTCGTGGTTCACGAGCAAGCCGCCATCGCCGACTGCGTGGCTGTGGCTGTAGCTGGGTGTCTCTTGGGGAATGGATCCCATGTTTACTGTGGCGTATCCTGAAAGAGATTATCGTGTGCTTGTTTGTTTAAATGGTCGATGCCGAGTCTGTCCTAGGGAATGTAAAAAAGGACGCTCAGGCGGTGTGGTAATCTGAGAGAGAGTAGAAGCGCAGTAAACATCGTGGTTAACTGTGGTGATATTAAGGAACATGGAATGCACCAGGCCGGTGGATGGAAGCACTTGTCCCGGCTGGTTGGCCGGAACTTCTGTCGAGAGAAGGCCGAAGCCGCGATGCGCGGACAGGGTTTCGCCGGTCATGACAGCATATGCCTGCCACCTTGGTTCCGGAGGCTCGGAGACGTCCAGGACGCACAGACTGGGTTGCAGTCCGAAATCTCGGAGCCCCACACCGGCCAGGATACAAGCATCAGGGCCATGAACTATTAACTACTTATATGCGTTGTCCGTCCGTCCGCCGGTCCGCCCGTTACATCGTGTGTCACACAAGGATTAAGCTTTTGGCCCCGTTGATCCACTAACATGGATTTCGGGTTCTAGACATGTACGTGCCGGCACCCGTCTGGGGAGAATGGGCCGCGGCCCGCGGCCCGCGGGGTCTGTCCTTGGTGCAAGCGGAGTCTGTCCTATTTCTTGCATTCTATCAATGCAGGGGCAGCAGTGATACGGAACCTGTCACAGCCTGCCAGTGAGCTCTGCATTCTTGAATCCTTGATCCACTTCGGATACCCGGAGATACCGACTGCCCGTAGGCTTTATTCGAGAATGCTTGCTCTTGGATGATGTCGTCCTTGGGCTCCATCACTGGCCAGCAAGTATATATATATATAAATATACTAACCGTTGGCTCTCTCATCTGCCAAGGTCCTGGGGTCGCACACGTGAACAACTGAAGTGAAGCTTACGACATGGCGCTCTCATCCTTTCTATACGCCGCGCAAGCGTGGCATCCGCTTCGAGATGACACCAAAACCTACGTGTCTTACCTTGTAACGGCGCTTCTCTTCTTCCTTTTGGTGTACAGCGGCCGTGAATCTTATCCTGACCTCCCTCGCTTTACCCCGCCGAATGCAGCCAGGTTTACCTGGCTGACACAAAAGGTCGACTTCATTTTGAACAGCAAAGAGCGTCTGGCGCAAGGCTCTAGGATGTTCCCCGACCGGCCTTGGAAGATACTTACCGATATGGGCGACATCCTCGTGATCCCCCCAAAGTACGTCGAAGAGCTTAGATTGAGTACGGCAATGGATTTCAAAGCCGCTGCATCAGATGTGAGTCTTTTCCAACAAGAGGATGAAGAGACGACGGCCACGGTATGACGCTGACTGACGTTCGCAGGATCTCCACTCCTACGTTCCTGGTTACGAACCTTTTGCAACTGAAGATGACTTTCTCAAAGCCATCATTAACCACGTGGCCAAAGCCTCAGGTGGGTTTTCCAACCTCGTTGCTTCAACCCCAGCCGTCTTGGCCCTGCGATGCCGCGCCTATTTTTCACGACGCCGCGCGGTTGAAAAGAGTCCCCGAGTAACATGTGATATTGCTATCCAATTTAGGATCCTTGACCATGCCAATCTCGAATGAAGCATCCGTCGCGGTTCACGACCAACTCAAAGACCCCAAGGGTGAGTCTACACCGGTTTCCAGCCCCCCCTCGACAAATCCCATATCATGCTTACCATTCAACCTTTGTCTCGTTTTTTTTCCTCAGAATTTTCCACAATATCGCTGAAGGATGTGTCCATAATTGTTTCCCGCATGGCCTCCAGGGTCTTCATGGGCGAGGAGCTGTGCCGCGACATGGCTTGGATCGAGGCGTCGTCGACGTACGTGCTCACGGCCTTCAAAACCATCTATCTCCTGAGCTTCTTCCCGCGGTCGCTGCGCTCCGTCATCCACTGGTTTCTGCCTCCGATTTATCTCGTGAGGCGGAAGCTGAGGCAGTGCCAGGCTGTCCTACAGCCGCACATTGACAAACGAGTCGCCATCAAAGCCGAGTCAGCGGCTCGCGGAGAACCGCATCCGTACAACGATTCCATAGAGTGGTTCTCCCGCGAGTGCTCCCCATCCCACGATCCCGCGGCCTACCAGATTACGCTGTCGATGCTAGCAATCCACACCACCTCCGACCTGCTCTTCCAGACGATGATTGATATCGGCAAGAACCCCGACATCGTAGCTCCCTTACGCGAGGAACTCGTCAGCGTTCTAAGCACCGACGGGCTCAAGAAGTCGGCTTTCCAGAAGCTCAAGCTCATGGACGCCTGCTTCAAAGAGTCGCAGAGAATCAGGCCTGTCGTCACCAGTACGTCGAACTCACCACTGACGCCCCCTCCCGCACTTCAGTCCCCGGACCCGTGTCGTATGTATTTACCGATTCGATGTAGCTGACCGCGTCCAATGCAGCCTTCTTTCGCCGTCTTGCCCTTGAAGATGTCAAGCTGTCTGACGGGTTCGTTATCAAAAAGGGCACCAAGGTGGTCCTGGATGGGAACCGCCTGCTGGACGAGGAAATATATCCCGATCCTCTGCAATGGGACCCCTATCGGTACATGCGCATGCGCGGTATCCCGGGCGAGGACAGCAAGGCCCATCTGGTGAGCGTGACGCCCGCCCACTTCGGCTTCGGCTACGGCGTGCACGCGTGCCCGGGACGCTTCTTCGCCGCCAACACGTTGAAGATCGCCATGGCCCACCTGCTGCTCAAGTACGAGTGGACAATCCCCGACTCACAACGGAAGCTCCAGGGCCAGAGCATTGGCTCCAACTACAGGTCTCATCCGGACGCCAGAATCCTGATCCGCAAGCGCGAGCCGGAACTCGACATCGACTCGCTCGGGTTCTGAGGATGGCGAGACGCAGACCGTATGGCATGCGAACACTCTATCGCACGGCCACGGGTGTGTGGCCGAATGAGCATGGCAGGTCACCAACGAGCAGGGGCTGCATGTCAAACAGGATCAATGTGTCAATTTTTTGTGCATGCTAGCAGGGGTTTTCTAGATGGTCGGAACAAAAGTCAAACATCACAGAGTATAGAACCAAATTCTAGAGCATGCAAAATCAGTTTGACATGCCTTAGTTTGACATGTTTTAGAAGCATCACAGTTTATGTTATTGCTGAAGTGGCGAGAGCGTCTAGCAGGCACTAAGGGCCTAATCAGCAAAACCAATAACAGTCCAATATTAGCTGTACTCTAAGAAGAAAATACATAGGGTTAAGGTCAAGGAGAGTTAAACGTAAGGCTAAAGGTTAATTTAGTAAATATACTGTCTAGGTCCTTAGATAATATAAATCTTTTACTATTTACCCTTTTATATATAAGGATATTAGTCCCCTAGGTCAATAGGCAGGATGCCAGGGACAGATTTAGGTAATTAGTTAGTGAGCCTTTGGCGATACCTTGGGCATTGCATATACGTACACACATAGATATAAGAACAGCCTAGCTAGAACACCTAGTTAGAAGGCTAAGTTGAATTCTAACAACATAACTACCCCTATCTTTCTCCCTAATTAAGGCCTATAGCTACTCCCCTTATAATTATTTAACTTTAATCTCTAAGAGAAGATTAGCCTAGAAGATTAACAACAGAGGAGAAACACTAGCCTAATTAATTATTAGGTGCTAGAGGTAGAGGGCACTAGGGGACTACTAGCTATAGGGCCACAACTAGGAAAACTATTATCTAAGGGTTATATAAAAGCAGAGTTTACAGGAACAGAAGAATTAAGAAAAGTAAATTAAAAAATAGTTATAATTAACCCTTAACTATACTATTTATAGACTCCTTTACTTAGTACTATAACTACCTTTAATATATTTTAATTTTTACTTATCTTTAAGTATACTAACTATTAGAGCTATAATATTACCTTTTAATACCTAAGTTACTACTTAGTAAAGTATAAGTGTTACCTTTAGGTAACTAACCTTAGATAGTAGTAATACCTAGGCGTAGGTAAAGAATAAAGGCCTACTAGTATAATATTAGCTCTAAAGTAACCTTAAAAAGATAATAAAAAAAAAGCTTAAGTACCTTCTAGAGAAATAAGTAAAAAAAGCTAAAAAAAGAAACATAGTTAACTAAATTCTAGCTTTAATAGACAAGGCCTTTATTAAAGAGGTATATAATATACTAGGCCTAGCTACTACTTTTTAGCTAAAGTATAAGTACTACTATATTAATATACTATTAAAGTAGTTACCTTTAATCTAATATAAAGAGGGTATATAAAATAACCTCTAGGACTTTTTATTTAAGCTAAAAGAATAGTTTAAAGTTATAAAAGAAGAATTTAAGAATAACTAAAGTAAAGTATAGTACACTAGCTTTATACTAAAAGGTAGCCTAGTGTATAAGTAGTAAAAGTATATTA